GAGGTGAAGCCATCGTGTTACAGGCTTGCAGTGTCTTCCCCACTCCCTCATTAAAAGCTGAACACCAAAACACACCTCTGACAACTAGTATTCAGCCTCCTTTTCTTCTCATTCTATCACAAATCAGATGGAAGTCCTAGCATTTTCACATGCAAAAAAGTGACAGATGTGGATTTTAGTTGATCTTTTAACTTAATTTGAATTGCTAGTCCTTATTTTTAAATGGAAGTGGCATTCTCAAGGTAAATAAAAATTTTTAGGAAAACATAAGCATCTGAACCCAAATACTAAGTTAGGGTGATCATCCAAAAATTCAACATTCAGCTTACCATTACATGAGATTACATTACATTTATTTGGGCAAATCTTCTAACTCACTTGAAAATATATTCTGGAATGTCTTTCAGAAAGGCTTATTAATTGAAATGTTGAAAGATATAATTATGATTTATCAAAAAAAGGCCGGTAGCATGCTACAGACAATTGTGTTCTGAGGAGACATTATTACGAAGATCCCACTAGAATATAATATAGTCTGTTGTTTAGTCACTAAGCTGTATCCAACACTTTGTGACCCCATGGACTGTAGCCTGCCTGGCTCTTCTGTCTGGGATTTCCCAGGTAAGTGGGTTGCCATTTCCTTTTCCAGGGGATCGATCTTCCCAACCCAGGGATCAAACCCACATCTGCACTGGCAGGTGGGTTCTTTACCACTGAGCAACTAGGGAAGCCCCAATATAGTCTGCAGAGGATCTCAAAATACAAAAACCTAGATGTCATTTTTAGGAGTCAGCAGATGGATAATTATGTCAAATGGATTAAAAAATATGAGAGAATCTAAATAAAGAATTTAGGATAACGATGATACTCTACAAGTCACAAAAGTTAAGTGCCGAGCAAATGGAAGGACAGAAATAAAACCAAGCATCAAACTTTTCCTCACATATCCCCTTACCATAAATTAGACTTGTAAAATAATACTATATAAAAATAAAACATTAAAAACTTCAATATTTATTTGTAAGTTATCAGAGACTACAGAATAGTGCCTATTTGACAATTATTCTAACAGATAAGTCACTTGACCTAACATAACCTCCACTTAAGGAGCAATACGTGAGTCCATATCAGAACCACAGAAATTCTGGTATTATGGGATCATTTAACAATGGTGGTATTTATGTAAGAAATGTGATGGTTTCAGGCAAATCAGCATCTTTTTCAATGCTCATTCAAAAAGCTTCAGAATTCTGCTAAACTTTGTTACTATAAAATCTAGCACACTAAATTTGGGGGCCAGGAGACCAAATACCATGTTTTTAGATTTGAGAGCCAAAGACCTGCAGTACTACATAGCCATTTTTAAGTCCGATGAGTTAAAAATAAACTACTGTGTTCACTTATAGTCCTGAAATAAGAAGCAGCAAGCTCTGGAAGATGGTGAAGGACAGGGAAGCCTGGTGTGCTGCAATCCATGGGGTCATAAACAGACAGACATAACTGAGCGACTGAACAAGAAGCAGCATCTTAGCGACAGAGACTATAATTTGTAAATTAATTCTCATATTCCTCTTCATCCTTAGTAAAAGAACCCCAGGCTTTTAGGATTGCCTACATATGAGAACATTCTCTTACATAAACATAACACAACCATAAAAATCAAGAAGCTAGCATGATTCTGAACTAGCTTCTTTTGTTATAAAAGCATTGTTGAGACAACTGGTGAAACTAGAATGAGATCTGAAGATTAGATAGCACTAATGCATCAATTTTACATTCGAGTTCACTAATTGTCTTTTGAATTGTACCTAATATAGTCTTTAACAGGACAAACTTTGAATTTTTACTTTTATATAATAATTCTGAAATAAAATATAAAAGAATTACTTTGAAAACTGATTTATTGTCATCCTAAAATCTCATATGCATTTGGTTATAGATTTTAGTGGGATGGGAAAGAGTAAAACAAAAATACAAATATTTTTAAAATCCTGTTGTGCATGTGAGTGTGCTCAGTCATGTCTGACTCTTTGCAATGCCATGGACTGTAGCCTGCCAGGCTCCTCTGTCCTTGGAATTTTCCGGGAAAAAATACTGGTGGGGTCAGCCATTTCGCATTCCAGGGGATCTTCCCAACTCTTTGACCTTGGAAGTAAATATTTATATAGCACTTGAAATAAGTTCAAGTGGAACAGTATATAAAACAGATGAAAAGCAAATTACTCTGTCTGATGTGTGAGAGAACCCTGATCCCGTTCTCAGCTTCCCATCGCCCTACTCTTGTGCTTGAGGTATGTCTATGGAATCCTTCTCAAAGCAGTCTTTGAAAAAACAAAAACAAAACATTGGGATAGGGTAATACAGTAGAGCAAAGAAAATACTGATGGTGGGGCAAAGTGTTGAGGAATATTCTAGAGCATGTGTGATACTTGAAATCCTGCAGAATGGTTCTAAATTAGGTGTGAAGGCACTGCATGCAGTAAGAAACAGTTCAGACTGGATTCTCCTCTATAAAAATAAATCATGCAAGACCACATTTACTCATATAAAGGAGCAGTTTCATTTATATATTGGAAACACTTGAGAATATGGCTTTAGGGTCAGACTGGTTTGGGATCCCAGTTCAACCATTCTCTCTACATATTCTCTCTCCCTTAGTGAATTCATATGTGATGGTATTAAGTGCAATCAATATGCCTTTCTGTCCCAAATTCATATCTACTCTCACCCCTGAATTCTAGATTCACACATCTGTCTGCCCACTCAACACTTTCATTTGGATATTGAACAGCATCAGACATTTTACTCCAAATGTTACTTATCCAGACCCTCTCCATCTCAGTCAATGGCAGCTGCATCATTTCGGTTCCATGGGCCAAAGTTCTTGGTAATGCCCCTACTCCTCACTTCTTAATGAGACCTAATCTCCCTGTCTTACATAAATTATAGACAACGCTGGTTCTCAGCCCTGACACATCTTATCTTATTCAGTTCCATATTTTCATTTATAACCTAGCACATTTTATATCTATGGAGACCAGAACTCATTTTAGAGGTGGTTGTAATACCCAAAATATAGAACAGGAATTTTGGACTTAGAGACTTAAAATGACAATGAAGAGCTGATTATTAGAATCAATAAGCCTGAGGATCCCAAAGTGGACATACATATACATATAATCAAAGAAAAGGAATAAATTTTATACCCATGCTATACATTTCTGTATAGTGCATATATGCATGTTTACAGTTTTGGGAATTATAAGAATGAGATCGTTGTAAATAATAAAAACAGTAGGGAAAGAGAAAAGCAGCTGTGGTGGGGACAACACCAGTTCACTTTTAGATATTTCATTATAAAGGTTCCTCTTTATTTTTTGCTAAGAGTATTACAAACTATAGACTTTTTGGTTTGCAAGTGACACATTTGGAAATTTTTCTCAAAAGAATATTTAGGGACAAGGTAACATGGGCATAATACAGTTTAAACAACTGTTCTGTTTTTCTAATTGTTTGTTCTTATGTAGCTAATCATCTGTATTTTCACATCTCTTACATGTTAAGGAATTGTTTCAATTACATTTGATCATATGTATTAAATGTAAACCTATGGTGTGAGCGATGACAAAGACGGAGTGCCTAACCACCTCTATTTGAAGTCCCCTAGGACTCGGGTTAATTAATGAGACTCATCCTAAGGTTATACATGATCTATTACTTCCTCTAATTAGAAATAATAATCCTGATCATTATGCTGGTTAGCTGGAAAGAAGTAAGATGAATGTGCTTAACTATGATTAATAGTCTGTAAGCCATGTAGATCTCTTCTGTCACTGAGTTATATGCAAACTGGGCTGCAACTCAGTGCTTTTGGTGATATATATTTTTATAACTCACAGAAAATTAATTTTCTGGAAGATCTTTTTAAATTTTGTGGCAAATAATAAGCATTTTATTATTTTAAAATTGATTACCACAACAAAAATTATTTTTCCATTTTGTATGAAATAGCTATCCAATAATTTATTGTCCACTTTTTAAATATTTTCTCCCAAATTTTGTGAATATCTATATGCATCATATTTTAGTCCATTCTGCTGAGGTGAAATAGACTACTGCATGTGAAAGTAAAGTGAGTACGTATAAATATTTTTAAGATAAAAATTAAAGTGATGATGATCATAGTATTTACTTACTGATGTGTTATAAGGGCTGGTGCTTTCCCTTTGCTAACGAACAAATTTACCTGACAGTTATATGGCAAAGAAATCTATAAAAAGTTATCTGATTAGAGAAAGGAAACACATACACAGAGGAAGTTAATCATCTATTGTTTTTGTTGTGATTTAGTTGTAATAAGATTGAAAATTTTGCATCCTTTAGAATTTAAAAGAAAATACATCTTATATAGCTATGTCAGTTTAAAGTCTCTGCATGAACCACTTAGTTTTGGTTTTGACGTTTGAGTAAAGACAGGTGTAACTATAGATATTAAGAAAGAGACTAAAGCAGTTATAATTCTAGCAATTTCAAATGTTTGTTTCAAAATTTGCAAAAGTAGTACATGGAAGAGCAAGGAGGTCAGAAATGTAGCATTTCTAGACCTGTTAAAATTTGTTAACCAAGGGAACAGGGATCTCAGGAGGGAAACACAAACTCTGAGTCTGATGGCCTTCATTCTCACCTCACTAACTGAGAGGCCCTAGGAATAATTTTACTTTAGAACATCAATGTATTCATTTTTAAAGTGGTAATAATAATATTTATTATATGTTGGAGACTTAAGAATTCATAATTATCTTAGACATCATTGAGAAGGATCACTTAATAGGCATAAAATATTATCACAGTGGCTAGCATATACTGTTTAACAAATGATGCATGTTTCCCATCCATGTATGTTGGAAGTATGTTGTGAAATATATTTGTGTGAAATATTTTTGAATTTTAAAATGTGGAAAAAGTCAAAATTAGGTTTCCTTTTGTTATTTTCATTGCAGGAACCCAGAGTAACTAAAGATTTAAACTCAATATCATCAATTGACCTGCTAAAACTACAAATGTTGATTATTTTTCACTAAAAATTTCACAGGATCACTAAACTAAAAGTTTTTGCTATCAAAATTGTGGATAAATTTTCCTTTTCGACTTCCACTCCTGGTCCATGTGAGAGACAGGCTGCTGAGATGAGTGCGAACCAGGCTGCAGAGAGCAACCTTCTGGCTTCGAACCAACAGAAAGAACTAGAGGATTTGCCAAAAGACCACCCCTTGAGTACCAGTGAAGATGAAGGGGACAATGATGGAGAAAGAAAGCATCAGAAGCTTCTGGAATCAATCAGTTCACTTAATGGAAAGGATAGGCAGAAATTGGCTGAGAGGTCTGAGGCTAGTCTGAAGGTGTCAGAGTTCAATGTAAGTTCTGAAGGATCAGGAGAAAAGCTGGTCCTTTCAGATCTGCTTGAGCCTGTTAAAACTTCATCCTCATTGGTTGCTGTGAAAAAGCAGCTGAATCGAGTGAAATCAAAGAAGACTGTGGAGTTACCACTTCACAGGGAAGAGATTGAGCAGATCCACAGACAAGTGGCATTCAATAAAAGCTCCCAAATCCTCTCCAAATGGGATCCTGTCGTTCTGAAGAACCGGCAAGCAGAGCAGCTGGTTTTTCCCCTGAGCAAGCCCCAGTCAGCCTTTGCTCCCATCGAACATGTGGTCAGTGGCTGGAAGGCAGGAACTCCCCTGGAGCAGGAGATATTTAATCTTCTCCGTAAGAACAAGCAGCCCGTGATAGACCCTTTACTGACTCCCGTGGAAAAGGCCTCTCTCAAAGCTATGAGCCTGGAGGAGGTAAAGATGTGCCGAGCAGAGCTTCAAAGGGCCCGGGCCCTGCAGTCGTACTATGAGGCCAGGGCTCGAAGGGAGAAGAGAATCAAAAGCAAAAAGTATCACAGAATTCTGAAGAAAAGAAAGGCCAAGCAAGCCTTAAAAGATTTTGAGAAGCTGCAGAAGGTCAATCCTGCTGCAGCACTGGAAGAACTGAAAAAACTTGACAAAGCCAGAATGATGGAGCGAATGAGCCTTAAGCACCAGAACAGTGGGAAATGGGCAAAATCAAAGGCAATTATGGCCAAATATGACCTGGAGGCCCGCCAGGCTATGCAGGAACAGCTGGCCAGGAACAAAGAGCTGACGCAGAAGGTCTGGGCAGCCTCTGAGAGTGAGGAAGAGGAGGAAGGCCAGGAGGAAGAGGAAGAACCTCTTGTCCCTGACATGGTGAATGGGGTGCAGATAAAGGCAAATGGGCTGAACCCCTGGATGTTGCAGAATCACTTCAGTGATGCCAAAGAGGCTGAGGTCCAGAAAGACCTGGAAGACCCTGCTGAGCCTGAAGCCCAGGAGACTTCTGAAAGTGAGGAAGAAAGAGCAGTGGTGGAAGAAGAAACTCTCTTGAAAGAATTTGAGGAAAGGAGATCACTTAGACAGAAGTCTGAGCTCAACCACATGGTGGAGCCAGTGCACAGACGTGTAACAAAGGATCCTAGCAGCCAGGAGGTGCTGTCCAAATTGAGGGCACTGTCTCAGAAACTCATCATGGAGAACCATCAGTCAGGGAAGCAAGAACTGAGTTCAGCGAGGACAGCTCAGAGCGAGGAAACCGCCAGGGAGGAAGAGGAGCTCATGTTTCTGCAGAGGCCAGAGAGAGCTCAGACTCTGGATGAGCTGGAGGGGCTGGGCAGGGGAGGGTGTGTTGCAAACGAGGAGCTTCCCAGAATTGCAGTGGAAGGGCTGCAGTTGGAGAAGAATCTAAGTGATCATATCGGCGCCCCCAAGGAGAAGAAAAAGAAGGAACAAATGATTGATCTCCAGAATCTCCTAACCACAAAATCGCCTTCCATGAAGTCCTTGGCAGTTCCCATGACTGTACAGAAGTTGGAAGATGAAGAAGAGAAAGATAAAAGGCAGATGATAAAGGAAGCTTTTGCTGGGGATGATGTCATCAGAGACTTCTTGAAAGAGAAGAGGGAAGCTGTGGAGGCCAGTAAGCCAAAGGACCTGGACCTGACTCTGCCTGGCTGGGGCGAGTGGGGTGGTATGGGCCTGAAGCCCAGTGCCAAGAAGAGATGCCGGTTTCTCATTAAAGCCCCTAGGGGTCCTCCAAGGAAAGACGAGAATTTGCCAAATGTGATTATCAATGAGAAGCGGAGCATCCATGCAGCAGCTCATCAGGTGCAGGTGCTTCCGCTTCCATTCACACACCATCAACAGTTTGAAAGGACCATCCAGACCCCCATAGGGTCTACATGGAACACCCAGAGGGCCCTCCAAAAGCTGACCATGCCCAAGGTTGTCACCAGGGCAGGCCATATCATTAAGCCTATCAAAGCAGAGGATGTGGGCTACCGATCTTCCTCAAGGTCAGACCTCTGTATCGTACAGAGGAACCCAAAACGACTCTCCATACATCACAAAAAAACATCTGGAAAATAACTGTGTGGACTGAATTGCTGAAGTAGTGACACCTTGGTGCTGGGAACCGATAGCCCAGCCTCCACTGGCCTGGTTTTACTTAGAGCTGCACGATGATTCCAAAACAAGCTTAGCACACCGTGGGTGTAGTTAAGCCATGTTTTAGAAATAAAGGCATTTTTATCTGTTTAAAAAAAATTGTGGATAAATTTTATATTTGGGACTTTCAATGAGATTGCTTAACACACAAGTATGCCTTTCAAAATGTGTAGACATTGATTTCCTCTTTTAATAATTAACTTCTATACTCTCTGACCAATGTAAATAATTTTATCATTCAGAATTTCCTCTTTTTACATTTGAATTTAATGATTCATAAGCAATTTTCTATTCACAATATGTTTTATTATGTCAAAAAAATCAGTAATCTGATTATCAATATGTAAGCAATAATTATTGTTTTCAGTGAGACACTCAAAACAATGAAGAAGCAAGCATTTAGGCAACTACCATGTGATCTCAACTGTCCTTGCAAACTAAGAACATAAAAGACATAACCCACAGAATCACAGATAAAGTAATAAGTGAAAAAGATATAAAATAATATATATCGAATTCAAGCATGTAACATACTATATCTTTGTGTAGTAAGAGGTTGGTAGATTTTCTTGGAGAACATAAAAACTGCAGCATATTCTTAAGGAAAAGAATTAGAAATTGGAAGAGAGAAACATACAGATAGGAAAACAAAAGAAAAATAACTTCAGAAAACAAAACAACAACAACAAAACCTTATTCCATAGATTAAGCCGAGTTCTTTGATTGTGTTCATGTCTGAAAGGGACACAGGTTCAATTCCTGGTCCAGGAAGATTCCACGTGCCATGAAGCAACTGAGCTCGGGGGGCCACAACTGCTGAGCCTGTGTGCTGCAACTACTGAAGCCCGAATCCCTAGAGCCTGTGCTCGGCAGCAAGAGACGCCGCCACAGCGAGAAACCGGAGCACCACAAGGACAAGTAGCCTTGTTCTCCATAATTAGAGAAAGCTAGTGCACAGCAGCGAAGACGCAGCGCAGTGAAATTAATTAGCTGACTAATATTAAACATTTAAAATATAGATGGAAAGAAATGCTCCTCTTGATGTCAGGGACCCCTAGGGGTAACTCAGAGGTTCTTAAAGTACTAAAAACATGGTTTTGAGTTACCTGTGTTAAACTGGATACATATATGCAGTTTCAATTTCAACTTAAAACACTGGAAGATATGGATAAATTATAATGGATTCTTTATTTTTATTATTGATTTGAAAAAAATTCCACACAGAAGAGTTCATTTTATTATTTTCTGAAAACACTTTTTCAATCAAAATGACTTCCAAATAGATACAATAATATATAGGGAGAAAGTATACTTTGAAATAATATAATAAATATATGAAATTTATATATGAAATTTATGAATAAATAAATGAAATAAATATATAACACAAATATATATATCTATTTAATAATAATTTGCAAAAGCTTCAGATTGACAAAAGATCTCTTATCAGTTTGAGTTGAATGAAGACACCGTCATAAATGATTAATCTAATCAGAATGTCACTCTGTCAATCAACTATAAAACTGACATCTTGATAAATTAATAAAAATGTTTCTAAAATTACTGAACAAATTTGCACATTAAATAAATGTGTTGATAGCTGGACATATGCCCTTCTAAGAGCACCAAAGTAACAAATATGAAAGCTACTAAAATTTGGATTAAAATAATCCTACCTGCAGGCCTTGTCCATCCACAGTAACAGAGTTGGCTCTTTGCATTTTGTTCTTGTCGGTCACTTTGTTTGACTGCTGGGAACCACCCTTTTCCCTTTTCACTGTTGCTTGTCTTTCCTGTTAGGAAAACATCTTTTATCAAAATATTGAAAATATTTAATTGCTTTACTACAAAGGCAACATAAAGAAGAATTTCATGGCTACTAACGTGGACCCAGCTTCCTAATTTGGTGTTTCTAGTGAATAATATGAAACCAGATGCTTTCTAATGACTCAAAATATATGATAGATGCATGGCCAAAACATCAGTTAAAGAAAGGTTGCAAAAGAAAACCAAAACATATTATCCTAGGTGCCCAATTATGACTCTGGTAAAAGTTCTTAAGGAGTACTAAAGCTAATCACTTTCATAAACAATGGTACAGATAATACTACAGGACTGTAAATAAATTTGTACCAAGCACTAAATTTAATGCTTATAAATACATGCAATATTGAAAATGAATACATGATAGACCCTTAAACTACTATTGATCATCAAGAGTGGCATAAAACTTAAAACACACACTCCTTCCCAGCTAACACTTATATTCACCATAACAGAAAACATTTTCATGGTTGTCTTCTTCCTGTTTCTATTCCTTCTCCTCTTTTCAACCCAACCTAAAAAACTTTTATTACCATTAATGTACCAGATCACCTTTTATGCAAATCACCAATGACATGTTCATTTGCTGCACTTGTTAATCCGTCTTCAACTTCTCAATTTTTAAGCAGCATTTGACAGAATTGACCTTTTCCCTCTAGAAAATTTGCTTCAACTGGGTTCTAGAACACTTTCCTTAGCTCTCCTCTTACTTTACTAACTTCTCCCTAAGTCTTTTCTCTTATTCCTCCTCCAACCTTATAATCTCAACATTTATCCCTTGACCTTTCCCTTGGGCCTCGCATCTTCACTGTCTACACACACTCCCTAGGTAACTTCATTTACACCCAAGGCTTTCGACTTCAATTTGATAATGAAGCCTAAGTTTATATTCCCTGTTGAGAAAAGGAATATTCTTGCCATATCAGTGAACAAGAATATCACAGAGATCAGCAATTTCATCCTTCTAAATGTGTATTTCTGACCCCTAAGGGCAATCAGGAAGAACAATTGCAGCAGCCACTCCCTATGGTGAGCACTGAGGAACTCAGGGTGTGAAAAAAATGCAGGATACTGGTCCTAGATAGCTGAGATGCATATGAAAGGAGTGATTTCAATGTCCAAATTCTTGCATCTTCCCATACAGAAGAAGCTCCAAATTTCTTAACTTGAGATATATGGTTTTAATTCACAAAGATGTTTTTGATGTTCATACTGCCTGCCTTTTGTCACAAATTTCTATATAACCTGACTCCTGCCCCCACATCCTCAGAGAAGTTCTCTCAGGGTTACTTGAAATGTTGTCTCACAGGCTTGAAGTCCTAAAAATTCCCACCAAATAAAACATAACCCTAAGCTTTTAGGTTTTAACTATTTTTTAAGTCAACACTGTTCAGAGTTCCTCCAGGAGCTTAATTCCTATAAACAAATGCCCTTTCTCTCTGTCCACATAAGTATCTAGAATGCATATGAATCCTGAAACAATAAAAACTAATTAAAATAAAAAGTTTCTCCCTATCCACTTTAAATATAAATCCCAAACTGGATGATTATTCATCACATCTATCATTACATGTTTTAAGCCCCCACTATCTTATTTGCCTTAATTATTGTGGCCATCACCTTAATGAGTCAATCACTTTCCATTTTGTCTCCCTCCAGTTGATTCTCTATGTAACAGCCACACTCAACCCTTATTACTGCACTCCAGCTACACCAACCCCATCTTTGTTTCTTTTTTCTTTACATCTCTGTTTCTTGATCACAATAACTGTGCTTTTAATACAGGGCTCTCACAACCATTCTGCACTCTGCTGGACAGCTCTTCTTGCTCCTGGTCAAACATTAGACTCCATTCCTTTATATGTTTGTGTGTATGCATATTTTTTATATAATTTAAAATATTATCTATTTAATACTGGTCTTACACTTTAATCAAAGCTCCATAGAGAAATGACTTTGCTTAACTGTTTCACATTAAATCCTAGATCAGTGCCTGAAAAAAATCACTAAAAATGAATGCAGATATAAATCAATCTTAACATTCAAAAATCAAGCAATTTAAAGTGCCTGAAATATTGTGTTGAGAAGAACTCCTAAGGCATGTTTAAACTTGATGTGAAAAACTGTCCTGATCAATTAGCAATGTCTCCCATGTGTGTTTAAAGGTCTGAGTGCCATGTATTCTCTATTATATATTCAGATACATATATACATTTCTGTTCCTATATTTGCATGTATTTTGTCAATTACTTCTCAATTACTGTCATTTAGGAAAATATTTTTAAGTGGAATTAAAAGTAAAGCTCTTTTGATATACATTAAGGCCAAATGGAACAGAAAACTTCTTGGACCAAAATAAATGCTAATCAGCATAGCCCTTTTATAGTCCTTGCAATTTCATGGTGCACTGAATATATTTTTGTGTAGATAAAAATGGCTTGTGCAATAGGATTCCTGAAATTCAAATTCTTTGGAAACTGATATATTTTCATATAAGCAGAATTTCTGGCAAAAAATATTGATATTTTAAGGAACAGATCATTCTTTCTAAGCTTGAAAATTACATTTTGTCCACAGATAGTTAAGGGTATAATGAATAAATGAGTGAATTATAGGATGAGATTTGGAGTCAGAAATGCCAAATGGAATCCATCTTCACTACTTAAATACTATGTAGCCTTAGAGAATTGACTTTTACTCAAAATGGAGTTAGCAATACCTATTTGTCAAAGTTGTGTATGGCTTAAAAGAAAATGTATAAAGTTCTAATATTGTGCCTGTATTAGTGCATGTGCTAAATAAATGAAAATTATTGTGAATAATGTAAAATAGGTATGGTTCTTCCATTAGGGTGCTCTTTAATATCACAATTATGTAAAATGTTTGTTATATTTTCAAATACATATATATGAAAAAGTTAACTAATTACAATAGGCATATTTTTAGATGAGTAAAGCTCAGCAACCTACATTTGAAAATCCATAGCATGTTGCACTGAGTTCAAGCATGTAATACATGGTGGGTGTGGGGATATTTTTTTCTGAGTTCTAACATGCAGGTAAATAAAATGTGGTAACAATATTTTATAAAAATCTACATTGTGAAAGTTACCATTTATACATCATATATTCTGCCTTGTAATCCAACATTTTTATTTAGCATTAAATTCTCAAATGCTTGAGTTTTAAGATCTAAATAAAATTTAAGTTGACTAGTCACAATGGAACTCAGCATTTGTGTCCATACTATTTATAAATGTA